CATTTGCTGCATCGTCATCTTCATCGCCTACCGCTACTTTTCGGTAATGACTAGCAAACTGTCAAGAAAGCACAAACTAACTTTGCAATTGTTCTTTAGTTTGAGTTTCACACCTATCACGGCATCAAGTTCATCTTCCGGGGCATTCTCTGCTTCCTCGCTGGCCTTCTCATGCTGTGGAAAGTGTGGAACTTGGAGAAAGAGGCTCCGCAGGAAGCTCTCAATNGAGTATCTCTTACTGAAAAAAGTGCTATACCTAATGTTTTTACTTTCAAGTTCTTTGCCTGGAGCACCCGTCGAATTGTCAACTCCAACGCCGTCATTCGCTACCACCTGGACAACTTTATCTTCGGCGTGACGCTCATCTACACTTCGCCTGCTCTAAACATCCTCTACAAGCCGAAACAGGGTTAAGGGGATCTTCAATTAAATTTTTGTTTTTAATAATATGAATACATTCAAAAACTCGGCAGAGAGGCCGAGTGAAAGAAAGTGAAGACAACTCTGCCTCCTTCAGTCCTGGTCCTGGGTGAACCAGGCGTGGGCGAGTACCTCCTCCATGTTGCTGCGCGAGGCGGGGTCCGGGTTGAGGTGGACGTCGATGAGGTCCTTCAGCTCCTTGGAGATGCTCTTCACGAACTTGTAGTTCTTCTCCAGCTGACTCACCAGCAGCTTTTTGGTGTCTCGCTCGCCGAAGGGCAGGCGGTTCTGGGTGAGCACGTAGAGGACGACTCCGTTGGACCAGACGTCGCTGACCAGGGCGTTGTAGGGCTGCGCCTTGAGCACCTCGGGGGCGACGTAGGCAGCACTGCCGCAGTACGTGTCAGACATTACCTGCTGACCGGTCGACTTCTCGTTCACCGAACGGGTGAAGCCAAAGTCGGTCTGAGGATGGGAGGGGATTAGAACTGGTCAGTACAATATCACACTCACCAGTTTCGCCTCGGTGCGCGCCTTGTTCAGGAGAATGTTCTCACACTTGATGTCTCGGTGGGCAAAGCCCTATTTATTGGAAGGAGGCGTTTAGAAGTGTTGGGGAGCTATTCAGCTGCACCTACCACGGAGTGCATGTAGCGAAGAGCATCACCAAACTGACGGTAGAAGAAACGGGCCTTCTTCTCCGACAACTCCTTTGTCTCCTTAAGCATGTCCAGAAAGTCTCCACCCTCGGCCAGCTGAAAAAAGCATTCAAATGTGTTTATGGCCTGACACGTCAGACTTACCTCCATAAAGATGATGACTCGATTGCCCACGACAAAGATGTCCAGCACCTCAATGAGGTACTTGTGCTTTAGCTTCTTCATAGTGTACAGCTGCAAATGGAGAGTTAGTCAAAGCTGGGTACGTTCCCTAAGCCAATGATTACCTCTCGAGGGAGGAACTTGATGCGATAGTCATCGGAGGTCTTCTCCAGGTCGATGACCTTGGCGGCGACCCCAGTGCCCTTGAAGGTGGCACGACAGACGCAGGCAAATGAGCCACTGTTCAGTGGGTCGCCCAGTTTGAAGCCCTTCTTCTCCAGCAGACGGGCGTCGTTTGCAGACAGCACAATCTTCTCCTTCTTCTGAGACATTTTGTTTGATAGAGGGAAATCAGAGAACAATGCCAGACTAAAAATCTGACATGGTTGTTTGCTGCGACCTTTATTAAGGTGAGCAAAAATTTCGAATAATTTCTCAGCAAAGCACAATGACACGTACAATTCAAAGTTTTAAGTCCATATTTTTAAAAATAATACAAACTTGTAACTTCAAATGTATAATTTACTCACTTTAGTCACACTACCTTCATTTTCACCAACTACAAAAAGTTTTAGTGGTAATGACCAACGTGTTATTAGCAAATTTGTTTTGTTTATGTTATTTAAATACAGTTAGATGACAACAAAAAGTGGTTATGGAGAGGTTTATAAGGTACTCTTACTGCGAATGCTGAGTTTGAAAATGCCTTTTAAAACCATTTTTCAATTTGAACGTTTGTTGACAAATGGAGTATTAAAATAGTTTAGAGTCGCTGTTAACTCGTTGGTGAAAGTTTGGAGCAGTTTTTTGAGCAGATGATTTTGAGCAAATCGAACACTTGTAAGCCCAGTGAACCAGTTAGTATTCATTGAGATTTGAGTATTTTGAAGGTGTAGCAGTTTTTAAGCAAGAGCATCTTACACTTACTGATAGCACTGTAGACGATGAGTAGGGAGCAGTAGGTGCTGATTACACCAGTAAAAAAGACCGTCTCTAACAGGTCCTCGCTGAGCAGACGGTAGTAACGAGAGAAGGGTCATCGAACTGGACGAACGTCAACAGAACGCTGAAAAACGCAAAGATTACATGTAAACAAATTAAAAATAGAAATAGTCTCAAAATCGGACTTTTTTCCGTAATGTAAACAATATTTGCATATAAAAGGGAGACAGAATTGGCCGCTGTAGACATAAACCTTTTCGACGCCTTCTTTCAAGCAGCAATCTTCTCAACTGATCAACTATGAATACACATGTAAGTGAATCACGACTTATTTGTAATATTTTAACATTCTTTTTAGTAATTTGCTATTATTTTTTGAATTTTAAATTAAAGTAGCGGCCCATAGGCCGCTAGCGACGTGGCTTTGAGAGTTCGAAGTTACGTCGCCTGTTTGTGTATATAAGCAGTTACTCTTTGCCATTAAAGTCAGTCTGGACTATGCTTGTGTTCACTCTCACTCAGCGCTTCTTTAATCAATTTTAGTTGATGTTTATTTATAATTAAGTTTATGATCTAATTTATCACGTTTAGAAAGAAAAAGATAATGCGGAAAAATTGGACTACGAAATGCCAATAAAACCAACATGGAAATGTTCCGACCCCGCACATAGAAAAAAAATGAATTGTAAATTCACAATTCGTAATGAATTTAATTTTTATATGAAATATGAAGATATTTTTAAAACAACAGATAAAGAGTTGAGTAGTGATGATGACGATGACAAGGAAAATGATGAAAAAAATGAAGATGATGAAGATGACGAGGAGGAGGATGATGATGACGATGACGAGGAGGAGGATGATGATGACGATGACGAGGAGGAGGATGAAAATGATGAAAAAATGACGAGGAGAAGGATGAAGAAGAAGAAGATTTATAAGGTTTGAAAACTATAAAAATGTTTTAAAATATAACTTTTAACTATAATAATGTTTTCTTTATTTTTACATGATCCAGATTTTCAAAAACATCATTTGTTTTTGAAAAACCCATTACATTAGATATTTCACATATAAATCACAGCACACTAAATTAAATGTAACTCCATTTATGGAATTAACTTTTCTTTAACATTTCTTTCATTATACACTTTATATTATCTTTATCCTGTTCTATTTGTTTCTATTTGTTCAATGTTATTAAGGATTACTTACACTTGTACACAAAAAAATATTTAATCATAGACCTTAACAAATAATCGTTTAGTTTAGTTAGTACACACTTTTTAAAAAAAAACCGCTACACAACGAGCAAACGTCTTTTACTCTTGATTCAAGGAAATGCAAATCGAGCAAATGAAAAACAGTATTTTACTAGAAAAACAAAGACTCATGTTATTGCTTTTACATAATTTTTAACAACGACAAACTGTGAATTTTTTAAAACTCATTGTAAAGCAAAAAATAACAAAAAAAATTTAATAAAATTTTCAAACGCCCATTTGTATATTTCTTTTTACTATCCACAGTTTATCACGAGGCTATCTGTAAGGCCGTCGATTGAATATGTGTTTCACAATAAAGTTTCAAGACACTTGCTTGAAACAAAAGCGATTACTTCGTAGAAAAAAAAGTGCTCTAATCTACGGTAAAATAATGGATAAAAAAGAAAACATTGAGCAGATGAAGACTAATAAAGCTGAAATCACAAAACTTCACTTTGTTTTTATTAAAATTACTTTCAACGACGACAACTGTAATTTTGTTAAGTTTTTTGACTAGTGACAAACCAGGCTAATCAAATCGGAACAAACCCAACCAGGGCCAACTTTAGTTTTAGGTCAAGTACCCGGATTGACTAGTTAAAACTAGAAACAAGAAATAGTGATCAACAGATGAGAGGTATATCAGAGTGGGAGTTTATGAGATAATGGGCAGTTTGTCAGACAGAGGTGTGTAGGGAGGTGGAGGAGGGGGAGGAGGAGGGGGTGGAGGCGGTGGTGGTGACTGATAGGCCATAGACATCAGTGGGTAGCTGTGCTCCCGGTGCACCAGATGAACAGCACCACCGCCACCATTGACTGAGGGGTGGTGGTGATTGCCCTGATCGTAGAAGCTCTGACCATTAGTTCCATTAGAGCCGCTGTACTGCTCTGCAACGGTGAAACAGCGGTGGTCCTCCTGGTGCCTGAGGGCACAGTGGGCGCAGACCATGGCCGCCGACAGGTGGTTGGCCACCGAGTGCGTCCTTCGGTAGACGGCATTGTCGATGATGATGGTGTCGCCGCCGTTGAAGGGAGTGTAGCTGGCCACCGACTGCACACCGCCACTTTCTCCACCAGCACTGGCCACACTCTGACTGATGGTGGGAATGTGATCAGTGGCCACGGTGTTCGACACCCTGAACAGCGGAAATTCGCCCTTGTGGAAGATGATGGTGGTGCCGTTGCCCCGCTCCTGGCGCCGCCGCCGACAGCAGAAGTACCAGACGGCGAGGAGGAGGATGAGGGCGGCGACGAAGCAGACAAAGGGCCCGTAGAAGTAGGGCTCCTTCATGGTGTTCATGAAGTGGTAGCGACAGGTCTGCGTCGCCTGGTCCACCTCAAAGTCATCCTCGCAGACGCACTGGTGGTTGGAGGTGCAGCGGGAGTTCGGCCAGATGGAGAAGCAGCTGGTGGAGTCGTAGCAGATCTCAGCGCGACAGGCGCTGCTGTTCATGTTGAAGCCCATGACGCACTCGCAGAAGCCGCCCAGACAGACCTCGTGCGGCGACCCGGAGCAGTCGTTCCAGTTGGTGCAGCTCCTCTTCTTTATTGGGCTCAGCGCCGGCGTCGGGTCATAGTGGTAAGGCAAGTTCATTGTTGAGGAACTGCTGTTGTCGTAGTGCTGATAGAGGAGCAAGGTCGATGTCGTTACAAGTGGTGGTGATGGTGGTGAAGGTGACGAGTTTAGATGACTAGAGAAGGTGGTGGCGAAGGCCAGCGGCAACATGCTCAACAGCAGCACCTGATGCAGCCTGAGGCAGCAGCTGAGAAGTGGGCATGAGTGAACACCTGTGCTGACCACCCCTGAACGGGTGCTCATTCTCTGGGAAGAGAAGGACAGAGGAAAAGAGAATACTGCCGGGGGTTCACATTCCAGTTCTTCAGAAAGGTATTTGCCAAAATGTCTGTGGCTGAAAATAACTTTGGCTTGTTTGGGTTTGAGCTGTGTCTGTTCTCTCCAAAAATGTGGAGCCTCACCAACGGCGTGAGAGCTCTTCGATCAAACCAGACAGGACAGGTAAATAATAGCAAATAGGCAACGAAGACACAACGAAAGTGGTATTAAATATTTGTTGTGACCAGCCACTCTCTACCACTCTCTCAACACTTGTTGACTCATTAGCAGAGTGGAGCACTAGTACGGTGGATCACTGTACAGACCGCTGTACGGTGCACTATCGGTGACTCCAAGAATGCCTGTCCAGCAGACGCATTGCTGCCGCTGCAGCCGCTCACTTACCTGTCTCCCTTGACGCGCAGTCATAAGGATGCGGTGTGATAGTGAAAAGAGAGAAGTTGGGTGGCTGATAAAGAGCGACTCGAGTGATTAGTAGTGTGGTGATGCCGCCGCTGCCGTAATTGCTATTTGCTAGCTTTGAGCTTTGATCCGTCCACGACAAGAGCAAGTGGCGGCCGGTGCTATCAACACCGTATGGTAGTCACTGAATGGCCTAGTGGAGGTACGCACAGACATTGGGGTAGTGTGCTCTCTCAAGTCAACACAGCAGAAAACACCTGATGCAACTGCGCCTTTGAGGTAGCTTTTAGAGGGCTAAACGATTAGCCAAAACATGCGGGAATAGTTGCTTACACAAAACCAACACCACCAACACCACCAACACCAATCACTTTTGGGTGATCGCTTGCACTGATTGAGGTGTCCATCATCATCATCATCATCATTACCAGTGAAGTGCCTCTCTGTGCAATGTGATTCAGCAGCGCTGACTCATCACCGACCAACCACAGTGTGGACCATCTTTTTAGAAAAAAATGGCCGATAAATTAGTGGCTAATTAGTCGGTGATAGCTGTAGGGGATTCTGGCAAACACTGAACACTGCTTCGAACAATGTGCAATTACATTGTTGGCTGAATGAAGTGCCGTACAGTGCGTGACGTGAGTGCGCGTAGAGTGAGTGAGAGTACTTGAGAAGACTACTTGAGGCATTCTAAGTAGTGAACCGCTTTACTTTACTTTACTTTGTTTGGTTCAGTAAGCAGTGCAACACAATCTAATGGGCTGGTTGCGCACTCAAAACAGCTGTAGAAGAAAGGATGCACCGAAGGATGCAATGACGACCAGCATCAGCACACCGTGGTTCGACTGAGCCGAACTGGGTGGACCCGGCTGACACGTCTGCGTCTTCTTGTCAACGTGGAACTTCTTATCGCAGACGCACATTCCCGACTTGGCGTTGGAGCAGACTGAATGCGGCCACAGAAAGTGGCAGTCGTCGTCCTTCTGACAGTGTCGAACTAGTAGGAAAAAGGTGGAAACATTAGCTGATGATGATGGTGAATGCTGGTAATCATGATCACTTACCAGTACAGATGAATACGTCATTGTCCCAGGTGTACCCTATGATGCAGCCACAGGTCCCGTTGACGCAGTCCTGGTGTGTGCTCGGTGATCCACAGTCGGAGGTCTTCGTACAGTAGGTTGGACGGGGAGTGCCTTCAGCGGCAGATGATAACTTCACAACGAACAGAAGCATAACCGCAGTCAAAACTGCAGCCCTCAATGCGCTAGTCTTTGAGAAGGCGATCATTTTGGAAAACGAAAACGCGAAAATAAATAGCAGCAGCCAAGCTGCTACTTGTCTTCCTGTTTTATATGCACCTAGGGGCGTTAGGTCAATGAGGAAGCAGCCTCAGTGTATGCACTAAGCTAAATCAGATGACCAAACGCTATTGTCTCCAACTAGGAATAAACACAATAAATGCGCACTGAGTTTGTCTTTTGATTAGATTCATTGGTGCTGGTTACGCATTGTACAGTAATTTTGTTATTGGATAGCACCATCAGTAAATTAGCTGTGAAACCTCCACTTTTAGCAATAACGTATTTAAAATTAAAAATCGGTAGCTTTGATTTACAATCTCTCTAAATCATCTAAACAATTTGAACTCACTGAGCAGTGGTTTCAATATTTCGCGACTTCGTGGTGCCGTTGCCAGAGCTGAGATAATGTTTTCCGGCTGTTCTCGCCAGATGTAATGCTTTACACTGTTATCTTCAAGCGTCTTTGCAGCATTGACAATCTGCTCTTCGTTCTCTGCTTTGAGCACAACTTTGGTCATGTTATCAAGGTCTTTTAGGTAATCAGTAGTATCCTGGTCATTCATGTTGCTGAATATAGCTGCCACCGATGCGTGCGAACCATTGCCTAAAAGAGAAAAAAAGTGTTAGTTATAAAAAATCAACGGCATTCACATATCAGCTATACCAATGAGTGCTCCTTTAGGCCATTTTAGGTCTCCCCTGACAATGATGTACTGGACCAGGTCTTTAGTTGTGGCAGCCATGAGGATTCGAGTGAGGAACATTCAAAGATGGATCCCCTTCTTCAGAACTTCCAATATTAGCAGCCGGCTTTTGTTTGGCACGTTCTATGTGAAAGGGCGCATTTGCCACAAATCAAAACAAACTGCATTTTTTTGTTGAAACGTTGGCGGCTTTTAAATTCTGTGGATTCTTTAATGTTTCCGAAGAGTAAGAAGCAAACATGTCGGAACGAAAAGTTCTAAACGTAAGTAAACTCTTGAGTCGGTAAAAGTTTTGAAACTGACCTTTCATTTTCTGTCTTTAGAAATACTATCCGCCGGACTTTGATCCGTCTAAAATTCCTCGACTCCGTCTGCCAAGGAATCGGCAGTACACGGTCCGCATTATGGCGCCCACCAATATGCGCTGCAACACCTGTGGTGATTACATTGCACGAGGCAAAAAGTTTAACGCCCGCAAAGAGACCGTCGATCACGAGGAATACCTAGGTCTAAAAGTGTTTCGCTTTTACTTCAAATGCCCTCGGTGCATGCAGGAGATTACCTTCAAAACTGATCCTAAGAATTACGATTACGTCGTTGAACACGGGGCGACACCAAACTTCAAAGCACTCAAACTGGCCCATCAGCAAGAGGTGGAACAACAAAAGGAGAAGGAAGAAGAGGAGAGGCTTAATCCAATGAAACTTCTGGAGAACCGAACTAAAGCTTCTCGGCGAGAAATGGAAAACCTTGAGGCATTAGAGGATTTGAAGGAGATGAATCAACGTGAAGTGGTCGTCGACTACAATGATTTGCTGAAAAAGAAAAAGGATGAATTTGAAGCTGAGATGAAGCGCCAAGAGGAAGAAGACGAAGCCCTTGTACAGTCAATGTTCGGCAACAAAAAACAACTAGATTCCATTAATGAAGATGAGGAAGATGGCGATTACGATGAGGAGGTGGTTGAGGAAATTGAGGACTTGTCAGATTTGTATCCATCATTGCCTAAATCGGCTTTTAGAAAGGACATTGACAAAGAGTCCAACGACGGAGAGGCATCCACAGACGCTAAGTCGACAGCAAATTGCACCGACTTGTTAAGTGATGAAACCGCCAGCAGCAGCAGCGGCAGCAGTAGCCTTCAGAAAGCATCAAGTTCAACGACGGCGACCACAACGGCAAACAGCCACAATAAGCGCAAACTTCTCAAAGACATGATCGTCGTGAAGCGAAGGCCCGCCGAGGTTGTTGAGATTAAAGTGGCGGCAGTTTCCAAGCCAGCTGAAAAGCCTACAGGTGCCCTTTCCTCTCTCTGCTCATATTCTGACAGTGATTCAGAATGACCGCCACCACCAACATCAACATTCAAAGGTTCGTAGACCACTTTGAGTTGGGTATTTTTAGAAGTAAAGCGACATTTAAAATTTCAAATTAAATGCTCACTTCAATTTAGTATACAGCTGCCATTATCGCGATCATGATCTCCTCATTACTCCTACTGAACTTTTTTTTCACAAACATAAAAAATATTGTTTATTCAAACAAGTGGTGGTGACATAAATCGTGTTTACTTACCTAAACTCAGCTCTTTTTATAAATAGCACTTGACCATAAGATAGTTTTTCGCGGTTAGATAAAGTTGCCACACGACGATAACGGTTTTTTCAATCGTAAACTTGTACACTTGACATTAGTTACGGTACAGTTAGTTTGCTTACTCCTTTACTTGCAATACTATTGCATTTTTTGATAACTATGTTTTTCTCTCGTTGCAGACTTCCACAGATGACTGTATCAAAGAATTTCCTCAATTAAAACAACTTTTTCCCCTTTTCCATTTTGGCACTCATCTCTTTCGTGTCGCTGGCTTGTCTGTTTCTTCAAAGCAAGTGCAGACAAACTCGTCTTGAGTGTCCACCTGATGAGAGGTGAGAGGTAAGCAGGCGAAAAGTGTATAATAAATTGACAAGACATTTTTATCTGCACTTTCTCTCTCTCTCATTTTTTCTCCCTTCCGTTAGCCGTTGCCTGAACTAGGTGCGTAGTGTGTGTAATCTTGTCTCGTCAATGCTAATGCCATGCAGCAACAGGCAAACCAGAAAGACGCAGATGAAATGAATGCTACTCGCGTTTATCTTTCAGACAAGTCCGCTGGCGCGTGAGATGATCACCGAAGAGGACAGGCCAGTCCTGTCGTGTCTGTGCCAATGTTTGTCTTCCATAGTGACCACACTGTGACCACCGCGTAACCATCAAGAGTATAACCAGACAATCTGTTTGTCTGCGCATAACGAATCGCCGATGAACTGACAGACAGGCAATTCGACAAAAGGCTTGTGCTTGCTTTGTGTTACCTCTGCCTCTGGCTGCTAATCGGAATCACCAAGAAACTCTGCTAATTAGTCCATCAATTAACTGCACAGCACGGAACGGGGAGAGATTTACAGGTAAGGCTACGATGCTATGTGAGTGTGTGTCAAATCGAAGTGTGTTTGTCCACTGCAGCGCAGTGTCCAAGTCGTGGCCAAACAAAACGATGATGATGAACGAGCCACCACCACCACCACCACCATGCCAAGTGAATGGCACACCGTTGTTAATGGTATTAGCATCACGTAGTAATCAGTGCTGCTAATCGGCGTGTCATATAAACGGCGCTTCAACATTTACATATAAGCTTCACTTGTCGCCGACATGTTCTGCTTCACCGTCTCTGCCTGTGTTTTGTCTGTGGCAGTGTACTACTCTTTCATAATTGCTGCGCCACTACTGTCGCCCATTTATGGCGAACCTTGAGACGTGGCGATCTCGGGTCGATCTCGGTCGCCCCTTTGCTTTATATATGCGCATTTTTGTTGCAATTTGTTGCAGAAGCAGCAGCAGTGCCACGGCCAACTGGTACCGCATGTTACCGCAACGATTTCTCTCCCTCTGCGCGTTGTCTTGGAGTGCAAGGATTGCTCCAGCAACAACAGCGCACAGTGTTTGTCTTTGTTTCAGCACAACATATTGTTTTTGTCTGCAATCGTACCGCATTGTGACAGACTGATGTGGCCACTCGCCGACACATGTTCTTATTGGCAATTTCAGACACAGACATACTGTTTCAGCTGTGTCGATGACAATTCAATTAGTCAGACCGGTTGGTGGTGAAAATGGTAATGCTGATTGTATATTTAGCATAGGTAATCACTGCTGTAGCTTCTGTCCTGTCATCCTTCCACGACGACCGAAGAAGGTATGAGGCAGATGCGCTACCACCTTTGGATTTAGCTAGGATGAAAATATGCTTATAATTAGAACAGGTTGTACGATTTTCTCTTTCCCTCTCCCTCGTGTTCACTTTTCCCCAGCAGTTTTGAGCGACCCAGTCTGAGGGGCCCACCCAGTTTCCATACCAATCGACTGACTTAGTACACTCTAACTTTCATTCTATCAGCCCCGCCAATCTGTGTCTCCTGAATTGATAGCATCACCGAAGCAGTGACACTGACTGACTGTCTGGCTGATTGGATGTCTCTGCATGTCGTGACACTTTTGACTTTCAGCACCTTATCCATTTATCATCACTTGCCTTCACCGCCCTCATCTGTCACGAATTTGTAAATTACAGCGATGAAGTCGCTTCTGCTCTGCTCATCTCGGTCGCTCAGTAATGTATGCAACGCTCTGTTGTTTAGCAGCATCAGCAGCTGCTGCTGCTCTGTAAGACTCATTCAGGCGATTGCCAACTAAATTAATCCTCATCTTCACTTTATCACTCATTCGTAGATGCTATCTTTGCGCTCGACTCCAGTTAATTGGAAGTGATGATTCTCAAAGGATGCGTTTGTGTGGTGGTGGTGGCACACCGGTGGCACATGGTCTCACCGCTCTCAAGACAGTAGTCTCCCTCTGTAATAGGATTCAAATGGATACTGACTGAATACTGGAGCAGTCTGAATGGACAGCAAGGGAGAGACATTGTTTGATGAAACCTGTTCATTTGGAGGAGAGAAAGAGAAGAAAACAGAAATGGATCCACGAGAGTGAGAGTCATTGAGGCAGGCCGAGAAAGAGCATAGTGCAGCGAAGCAAGCAAGGCGTCTCAAGTCAGTTTGTTGAGGAGAGAGCAAGCGACTGAGGACGGCGTGTGCACCTTATCATCTAATTTAGCATTCAATCACACACACGCGGACAGACAGGCAAATGGACAAGACAAACAGAGCCGCAGAAACAGCAGGAACAGAAACAGCAGTGGCGCCAACAGCACCTGAGCAAGAGCATCACTGGGCGCCACTACTTCTACTTCCTCTGGGATTCATCGTCTGTTCCAGCGTCTGCTGAGCACTACTACTACTCCCGTCTACCATTACCTTTCTGCTCGGAGGTTTACTCAATTCATTCATTCATTCATTCATTCGAACACGCGCACGCTACCAGTGCTCACTATTTTTTTGGTGCTCTCTCCCTCACCTTTTTCTCCACGATTTGTTCTGTTCTGTTCTGTTCCTCGTCGCCATCGTCTGACAGAATGACAGGTATGTTGCTGGACTGGCAGTGGTGGTGGTGGTGGTAATGGGCAGGCAAGCAGGGCACTGGGAGATTGTGCTCAGTCTTCTCGTAGCCCCCGTTGACAGGCAACATGCACTGGCGCTCGTCCCCCGCACCACCTGTCAGAGGCAGACGTTGTTGGTAGTGTGCTCTGATGGTAATGGTGCTGGTGCTCCGTCTTCGTCTTCGGCTTCAACTTCGACGACCTGTGTGTTGTGTCTGGCCACTACTTTGCCACTCTTTGTCTTTCACTCCTGGACTTCAGTCCTGCACACTGTTCACCGGGCTAAGCGACCTGCACTTCACACTACTGACAGTTCACTACTGAGCTCAGTTTATCGTTCACTCCAATTGCCTGCCTCCCTTCACCGCTAATGACTCTATTGGCCATTTCAATTGCCTGGTACAATTATCTAATTTCACTTTCACTTTAGGTGCCGGGTGGCGGTTTTAGGCTGCTGTGCGTCGGCTGTAGTCAGCCAATGCTGTCGAAGCTACTGACGGAGTCGTCGTCGTCGCGTGCACGCGCCCCCAAAGCCGAACGCCAATCAACGATCAACAGCAGCAGAAGACTATGACTTCGAAGCTTAGCACTTCACTCTACAACGGATACAACAACAGCAGAAGCAGTACACTGCTAAATACTTTAAACTACCGCTTCGGAAGTTACTTCTGCTCAACTACTCTTTTCTCTTCTCCTTCTCCGTCCCCTCCTGACCGATTATTCGATTATTGAGAGCACACATACACACAGACGATTATCAACTACTTACTGCGGCGTCGATTGACTGTTTGGTCGGAGTAGTTTGCCGTGCTCCCTGGCTCCAAATCACTCAGTGCCTCGCAGTGTCTCATGCTGTACTTGAGCCTGCACACTGCACATTCTGCACATCTGCTTCCGTCGTTTACTTCTCCTTCTCCCCTTCTTCTTCGATCTCAATCAGCTGGAAAATGAGAAATCATCCGCCTGTGTGTTGTTGATTCGATCGCAGATCGAGTGATGAAATTTTGATTTGTATCACCGTGATCTACTACTTTTACTACTTCTACTTCTTCTTCGTTCCCCCACCACCTCGCCCGCTACTTATCACCAACATTCAGCAGCAGCAACACTGGCGCAGTAAAGCCAATCCTCTCTCTCGATTTGACTGCCCCTTCTTCTGCATCAATCGTTTCACTATCTCCTTCCAATGGCCGGCTGCTCCATCATCGGACTGATGCATCGGCCAGCGGTGTCGTTCATATCTCCCCTTTCAACTGGAGCATTTCTACTTCTTCTGACAGTGCTCGGTAAGTGTGTCCGTTATCGTATGGCCACAATCAGCTCACTGACCAACAGCAGCAGCTGAGCTGAGGACAAAGGACAATTTAGCGATTTGATGGCTATTTTTCTAGCGTTGCCTGTTGCACTTTAAAATCATTTGCATTTTGGGTGGAATCGCGCACTGAGCTAATGGCTCTCGTGTGCACACTGCCGACACTGACTGACTGGACACCAATTGAATTAGCAGTGGCAGATAAAACGGCTGCAAATTACTCCCGAACTCTGCCTGCCTGACTGAGCGTCTTTCTTTACGTCTGCATTTCTTCCCAGTCCTCCCTCCTTCCCTCCTCAAGGCCCATTGCTAGTCGATTATCGAATTTAAGCAGTCCCAAGACTGAAGACACACAGTTTGCATTGTTCTCAGAGAGCGCTTCGTTTCACCTTTTCTTGTTGCCTGTCACCAGGCACAATCTGCCGCTTGCATCGCTTCCACTGCAACACACCGACACACTGACTGTCTTTTTTGCTGTTTTGAAGGATATTAAT